TACCATCTCTAGCAATAAAGGAAATGCAAATTAAAACCACACTAAGATTCCACCTCACCCCTGTTAGAATAGCCATCATCAGCAAACACCACCAAACAACAGGTGTTGGCGAGGATGCGGGGAAAAAGGAACCCTCTTACACTGTTGGTGGGAATGTAGACTAGTACAACCACTCTGGAAAAAAATTTGGAGGCTACTTAAAAAGCTGGACATCGATCTACCATTTGATCCAGCAATACCACTCTTGGGGATATACCCAAAAGACTGTTACTCCAGAGGCACCTGCACATCCATGTTTATTGCGGCACTATTCACAATAGCCAAGTTATGGAAACAGCCAAGATGCCCCAGCACTGACGAATGGATTAAGAAAATGTGGTATCTATACACAATGGAATTTTATGCAGCCATGAAGAAGAACGAAATGTTATCATTCGCTGGTAAATGGATGGAATTGGAGAACATCATTCTGAGTGAGGTTAGCCTGGCCAAAAGACCAAAAATCGTATGTTCTCCCTCATATGTGGACATTAGATCAAGGGCAAACACAACAAGGGGATTGGACTATGAGCACATGATAAAAGCGAGAGCACACAAGGGAGGGGTGAGGATAGGTAAGACACCTAAAAAACTAGCTAGCATTTGTTGCCCTTAATGCAGAGAAACTAAAGCAGATACCTTAAAGCAACTGAGGCCAATAGGAAAAGGGGACAGGAACTAGAGAAAAGGTTAGATAAAAAGAATTAACCTAGAAGGTAACACCCACGCACAGGAAATCAATGTGAGTCAATGCCCTGTATAGCTATCCTTATCTCAACCAGCAAAACCCTTGTTCCTTCCTATTATTGCTTATACTCTCTCTACAACAAAATTAGAGATAAGGGCAAAATAGTTTCTGCTGGGTATTGAGGGGGAGAGGGAGGGGTGGAGTGGGTGGTAAGGGAGGGGGTGGGGGCAGGGGGAGAAAAACCAAGCCTTGTATGCACATATGAATAATAAAAGAAAAATGAAAAAAAAAAAAAAATATATGAGTCATTGTCCCTCAAAAGAAATTGATTCCACATTTTAAGAAGGATCACTTGCACTGTTAGGGATTTTTCCTGATACAAACACACCTATGTAATTTGTCCCATAAGCAAAAAAGCAGATATTTGGGGGCAAGGGAGAGAAAGGGGAGAGAGAGGAAGGGAAGGGAAGGGGAGGGAAGGGGAAAGGGAAGGGGGGAGGAAAGGGAGGGGAAGGGGGGAGGGAGGGAGGGAAGGGGGAGGGAAGGGGGAATGGAAGGGAAGGAAGAAGAGCGAAGATGGATGACCTCTTCTTGATGGCGATCCTTTATGACAAAAGGTCCACAAGCAACATTCTCACAAGCATCACAAAACCCGCAAGGAAGATGCTCCTGTTTACATAGCTTACATCCAAAGATTGGTACAGGTGCTCCCTGTTTTAGTCACAGTGTCAGTCATCACTTTCAAATGAGCAGCGATTATCAATGCAAAGTGGGAAAAAAGGATGTCTGCGAAATTCAGCCACCAGGCTTCCGTGAACGCTCCTGCAAAACACATACACTCTCAGAATAAAGACATCAGCCTGCCTGGCACTGCAATGAATTCCAGCATCCTAAGGATTGGAGGGAAATGTAGGGGTTCATCACGTCCAGACCCTCACTTTAGAGAGAGGAAAACTAAATAGAGCTAAGAAAGACAAAGTGACCCGGTCCAGCATCCCAGAGCCTTCACAATGAAAAAACTCCTGTTTTCTTCGATTGCTTAGCCACTATCCCTGGTACCACACCCATGCTGTGTTCAGAGCACGAGGATAAGAAGAGCCACTGGGAATGCCCAAAGCTTTACTGCAGGACAGCGGGGAGGAAGGGGACAGGGCGGAACCCTCAGTTTCTAGAAGCAAGGCCTCAGCCCGCACTTCTGGTTCAGGTGGCCACTCTTCCCAGCCCAAGCTGTCAAACACTCACAGCTTCCAACCAGAACCACTGGGTCCCCCACCCAAGCTTTGTGTTTGATGTGTGCAGAGGGTCATGTCCTATTGAGGTCCTCAGAAGATGGTCCTGAAAGGTCACAAAGTAGCGTGCTTCAGGTGTAGAGTAACACGGGCCCTCCCCAAGGACAAAGGGGAATGTCACTCTCTCCCGGCCTGTGACCAGCAGACTCACGCTGAATAGTACACGTGCCCCTGAAAAGCTGCTCAAGGGTACAAGGACATTTTAGCTTGAAGACGTCTGCCTTCTAACTCTGCCCAGTCCCTGCGATAGAGGAAATCCAGCCAGGTGCCTGTGGCTCACGTCTGTAATCCTAGCCACTCAGGAGAAAGAGATCAGAAGGATCTCAGTTCAAGGCCAGCCCAGGCAAATAGTTCAAAAGCCCCTAGCTCAAACATTACCCAAAGTAAAAAAAAGGGCTGGCGGAGATGCTCAAGTGGTAGAGCACCTGCCTAGCAAGCAAGAGACCAAGAGTTTAAACCCTGGTACCAAAAAAAAAAAAAAAAAAAAAAAATCCAGAAACTGCAGCAGATTCACTGGAATTCACACCAACATTGTGCTTACAGAGGAACATTTCTACTCAAAAATTACGTTCCTTAAAATCTTATCTATTACTAGAGAAGCTATAATATATGTGTGTGGTTTCTATTCAGCTTTCCAGCTTGCGAACATTTGCATAGATGAATAAATTGATTGGTTAAAAAAAAATAATAAGCTTGGTGCTGGTGGCTCAAGTCTGTAATCTAGCTACTCGGGAGGCTGAGAGCTGGAGGATGGAGGTTCGAGGCCAGCCACAGCAAAACAGTTCTTGAGAACCCCCCACCTCCAAAAATAACTAGAGCAAAATGGACTGGAGTGTGGCTCAAGCGAAGAGTGCCTGCTCTTGCAAGCACAAAGCCCTGAGTTCAAACCCCAATGTCACCAAAAAAGAACAACCTCTTTGCCAGCTAGGATTTCTTCTTCTTCCAAAAAAGAAGCCTTAGCATACCTTGTTAAATTTCCATAATACTGTATCTGACCACACACATTTTTTTTTCTCCTGAAATGTCCTTGCTAGGTATTCTTTTTATTAAAACACAGCTACACGCTTGGCAGTTCCAAGACTCTCACTAGCTACCAGAAGAGAAAACCTAGAGAGTCCCCACTTCCGTCCAGATCAGCTCCCAAGCTGCAGACAAATCCCTCCTCCCCCAGTCCCATGGAAGAGTGGCCTGGACTTGTTGACAGTGTGGGCACCCCACTGAGCTGTCACAGAAGCCCAGGAGACTTACTTACAGCATAGGCGCCGATCAGAAAGGCGGCATTGGCCCTTTTCCGTTGGTCAAAGCAGGTGTAGTGTACAATTTTCTTTCTTGACAAACTGTATGGACTAGACAGAGGGAGAAAAGAGGTCACCATAGAGATGATGTTCAAAGGACCATCTTCCCTGAACTTTCAAGAATTCCCCACACTTTCCACTTTAATTTCTACGGTACTTGAACAGTTGGGGTGGGAGGCTAGTGGCTCACTTCTGCAGGCCCGTGATGATGTAAAAAACTGCCACCATAACAAAGGTGTGTCTCTCCAAGAAGGGAGACTGTCATGGTGGGAAAGTGAGGTTCATGACTTCTCTATCAGCAGACACCATTTCTATGATTTGTCCTCGATCTTCTATAACCTAGTGACACTTTTACTCCTCCAAGCCATTCCCACTCCCAGGGTTAGTCATTTGTACTAATATTTTTACAGTTTGTATTAACATGTGTCAGTCTGTTGTCTTTCTCTGAAAATTTTCATTATTAGAGGCCAATGTTAATAGTTCCCCTCTAAGGTGCACTCTCTTCACCCCCTTTTAATTAACTTAACATTCGTGGTTACTGGGGGAAAAGAACGAGCCACCAAAAGGATAGCAGCAAAACATCTTAATACATCAGCCATGTATTAAATTCATGATTTGAAACAGTCATTATGCACTTGCTGTTGCCAGGCGATATTGTTGCATGCTCAAGTACTTAACTAAATCCAAACAAGCGACATACTATGTTGTATACATTGCTAAACATGAAAAGAAGTGACAAAAAGATCCAATTAGACTAAATCAAGTTATTAACCAAAATTCAAATCTAGAACAATGAGAACGCCACACAACTCAAATCTACTCAATGTCCTCGTATTTCAAAGTCATTTTGACAACTGGCTTTCCAAACACAGGCACTAGAACATTTTAATATTGTCTATAAATTCCTATTGACCATAAAAGTGGCTGTTTATACCTACGACATGAAAGCACAGCCCATGGAGAATCCTTTATCGTGCTATTTTGTACACGAAAAGAAACTCAGAATGAAGCTATGTCATTCTGTTTTGACACCAAGTAGCTACACCCATCCCGGCTGTGATGTGTGAACCAAGAACTCTCACTACCCCGCTGGCACTTCTTCCATAACCACAAATCACAGTTTCTTGAGAACAGGAGAGCCCTTTTCAGCTGAACTTCTGAAAATTAGTGTTTGACTCAAAGAAGTCCCATTATCCATGCCTTTATTTCCTGACAAATTTATGAAGACACTCCTATGAAGCAGAGAAAGAGAAAAGTACATTTTATTTAATTCAGTTCAGTTGAGTTAATACACTGAAGTTATCCTAAAGAGTTCAAGGTTGCTACCAGTGGTGTTGACACCTGACTATTTGTAACTACATTTCCTGTCCCTATATTAGTCTACTGTTCATTGGCTGATTGATTTTGCCCCTTATTGTTCTCCATCAATAAGTTATATTTGATTTACCAAAAGGGAAGAGAAGGCTCTTTAGACCCGAGCATCTCCCATCATCTCTGAATCCCAAATAAAGACTTCCCTACACACTCCAAGCTCTCTACACACATCAGTCACACCCCACCACAATCTATCTTAAACGTCTGGATTATCTGTTTGGATGCATTTTTCTACTAAACTATGGCTGCGGTTTAACGATGTGGAGTTGTATTTATTTTGCAAATTTACTCATCAAAAGTCACAATATGCTCATTTCTTGGTTGTGTTTGTTTGTTAGGAGGTCATCTGTTTGTTTTGGAATTAGCATGTTTTCTTGTTTGTCGTTCTCTTTCTCTCTGTCTCTTGTCCTAAATTATACAGGACACAGAAACTACCTTGGGATGGAACCATGGAGCTAGCGTATAGAACTCTGAGGAAGACTTTCTTTTCAAGTACATCTAGAAATGTTTTTAAAGTAAATGTAATACAAGTTAAAACTGCAAAGACTTACAGAATTTCTTAAGCTATGCAAGCTTTATTACATCAGATAAAGAATGGTCTCCACAAAAATCTATCTAGAAATTTGAAGTATTGAATGTTTCCTTGGGGGAGCTGCCAACAAAACAGGAAGCATACAGCTGACTTTGGTTGGCTTGTGGATTGGAATGGTTGGTTGGTTGGTTGGATGGATGGTTGGGTGGTTGGTTGGCTGGTTGGTTGGTTGGCTGGCTGGTTGGTTGGTTTGATTGGTTGGTTGGCTAGTTGACTGGATGGCTGGTTGGTTGAGCGACTTAATGCCTGACTTAAAGGAAAAGTGTTTGAAACATTTACCTGCTCAGATGTTTTTTAGAAATATAATTTATTTTTTCAGTTAAGAACAAAAAAGTTCTACAACCAAGAAATGATCTTAGAGAAGGTCTGGCCTTATCTCCCAGGTCAGATCACAGGAAGTTGAGTCCTCACTCAAGGAATCAAAACTAATTCAAAATAAATGATGACACAGAAAATCTTATGTTCTCAGGTCTGGTCCTAATTCCTCCTTGCCACAGCCCGGCTTCCCTCTTATAGGTCACCTGCCCATTAGCTCTGCCCCAGTGCTGCTGCTCAAGTATATTCTGGTACTGATTTCAGGAATAATAAAACATTTTTTCAATTATTTAAACTGATGTTTTAATGATTGGGCTGATATACACAACTCTTATAATGTCCTTTTCTTTCAATGTTAAATAGACCCTCCCTTTTAAAAAAATAAATCAGGTCTGTACTCCTAGCTATTTGGAAAGCTGAGATCACAGTTCCTGGCCAGCCAGGCAAAAAAGTTCACAAGACCCCATCTCAATGGAAAAAAAGCTGGGAGTACTGGTGCACACCTGTCATCCCAGCAATGGTGGGAAGCATAAAACAGGGGGCTTGTGGTCCAAGCCAGCCTGGGCAAAAAGCAAGACCCAACTCCAAAATAACCAAAGCAAAAGGGGCTAGAGGATGTGGTTCAAGGGTTAACAGCCTGCATAGCCCTGGGTTCAAACCCAGTGCTGCAAACAACAACAAACAACAAATCTTACACAAATCAAAGCAGCCTAGAAGAAACCCCATGCAGTAGCAACACTAGTGACTGAGGTACGTTTGAAAGAACTTCACCATGGGGGGGGGAGGCAGAGTCTGCAGACAACAGGACTGCTCTATGAATGAGCCCTGCAGACATCTTCTCAGATTCCACCCCATGCCCTGGGAACACCACGCCTCCCACTGACAGCTGCCTCTTCCTCCTCTGGTCTGTCTCTCCTGGCTCTTATGGGAGAACACTTGCAAAGTTATGCCATAAACTGGCTTTTGACGAGTTTCCTCCTTGATGACAGATTCTTCTTACTCAATGTGAGACGCTCAGAGATCAAAGGAACACAGCACGACAGCAAAGCAAAATAGAAACTGGCCAAGCCGAATCAAATGAACACAGTCTTCAATACAAAGGGCAGATGTCACAGCAGGAAGACCTCTGGCCTATTTGCCTGTCTGCAGCAAGGCTCTACAAGACCATTACATCATATTCTGATTGGGGATGGTGGTGCACAATTGTAATCCCAGCACTCAGGAGGCTGAGGCAGGAGGATCACAAATTAGAGGCCAGCCTGGGCCATACAGTGAGAAAGAAAGGGAAGGGAAGAGGAGGGAAGGGGGGGAGGGGAGGACACGAAAGATGGAAGGGAGGGAGAAGGAAGGAAAGGAAGGAGGGAGGGAGGAAGGAAGGATGGATAACACTCTACAGCCACTATCCATCCTGTATTTTAGATTTCTTGCTTTGTTTTTGTTTTAGGCAGTGCTGGGGTTTGAACTCAGGGCCTCACACTTGCCAGGCAGGTGCTCTACCACTTAAGCCATTCCACCAGCTAGATTTCTATCTTGAATCTAGCATATACAGCCTTCTGAACCTTCCTAACCTGAGTAGGCACAACCAGCCCTCTGTAACAACAGCCATGACAACAGCAGCAGCTGTCATTTAGTGGTCACTTGCTCCGGCCATCATTTTTCAAAGCCATAGAGACAGTGCCACATACAGAGCATCTCCTAAGAGCAAAGGTCCTGGGCCGAAATACAGCAAGCAGGACAACACAAGCCAGGAGCCAGGGAGCCGGGGCCTGCTGTGAACACTCGCCAGCCAGCGTGGGAGGAGGGGAGACCCAGGCCCCTCACTGAGCTGTTCGTTTGGGCAAATCTCTATCACAAGACCATAGCGAAGGTTTGTGGTTTGGAATCTGTTAAATAAGTCTTGGCTTGAAATGGTCAAGCTTACTAAAAGTTGTTGGAAATAAAAAATGAACTAAATCTAAGCTCCATTTTATTTTCTTATTATATTACTATATCCTATTTCATTCCCCGCCCCCTTTTTTTTCCTTCTCTCTTATCTTGCTTTGTTTTGTGCTTTGTTTTTTGAGGCAGCATCTAGCTAAATAGCCAAAGGACGCCCTTGAACTCACACTGTCACCCAGGCTGGCCTCACACTCATGATCCTCCTGCCTTAACCTCCTAGATGCTAAGATTGATTACAGGCGTGCATCACCTTGCCCTGCTGGATGCTTCTGAAACCCTGAGTATTGCCCTTCCCCCACTGCCAGAGTGCTGATTGGGTGAGAACTGGGATGAGACTTTGCATCGCTGACAGGTTCCCTGGGGATGCAGATGTAGCTGGTCCAGGAACCACACACTGAAACCCACTGCTCTCAAGTTCTTGGTAAATTTTGGTTCCACACCTGGAAATGTTACAGATACTAAAACCTTCTTCATCTAGTCAAGTAGCCCCAAAAGAACTTTTAATTCTCCTATAAGGAAATTCCAAATCACGTCACACCTTTTAAAAACATGCTACAGAAAAAAAAAAATTTCCCCAGATTCCTCAGAAACCCATCTTACAATTTGTAAATTCATGCAGTACAAGTGACACCACCTTGGGAACAAGTTCCTTTAAGGACTCCATAACCAGCTGCATGAGATGGAGTGATGGGCAGAGGCCCCAAGTTCACACGCTCTTGGGGACCAAGAATTTGGAACTGGCAAACTAGAAAAGCATTTCCATCCAGAGCACACTCAGCCCCCACCCTGCCATGCCCTTGCAGGAAACTGGCACCTATATTTAAAAGAAACC